TGAATATTTAATTGACAATTAATTAATAATTAATTGATATTAATATTCATGTATCAATGTATATTAATATATAAATATGGATATATATATTGTATATATATTTATATGTAAATATTCTTGTAATAGAAGAATCTGATTTCCCTGATTCTGAATGATGATTTGCACTTAATCGCGATGTATTATGTTAGTTATTTTTGTAATCCATCACTATTGTTTTCTGCTGTATTATTAAATATGAACATATTAGGTTTGTGGAAACAGTCTGTCATGTTAAAAAAATCTTGATGTTGTTTATTCTATACAATTTGCATCTATTTGTGATATATTAATCATTTCCGTATATTAATTATTTTCTTGTTATTGACAGAAAGAATTGCAAAGAGGAAAAAACACAAAACTCGATTAAAACTATTTTATACCATCACTCCAATGTTTATCTCTTGTTTTCATGATTTGAATATTTATATATAATACTTTCAAATATTTGAATATTTCCAGTCAGATCGTTTTGGAGTTTTACGACGAATATGTTCAAATATAATTTACATGTGTTTTTGATCGGATAACCTTCGGAAACAAGTTTTTATTATCTATAATACGAAAATTCGCACAATGAATGAATCATTGAAGTTTATCGTGGCTTCCGGGAAGCGGTTTTGTTTTCGCGCAGGAAAGAACGGGCAAAATTTTTCCCACAAGTTCTGCATATCTTGGCACGCTCGCGAGACGAGCTCGCGACGCGACGATACGTTCGTTTGATTCGTCCGGATTTCCGACGCCATGTAGATTTTCGTCGATAGCAGGGAGTTTGTAATACAACGAAAACATACGATTAGGTGAAGCTGCGCAAAGTGCTGCCCGACGACGGCAGCGGCGGCGGCGGTTCCTCGCGACGACGGTTGTTCCTCGCCACTTCCGGCTATACATCGCGCAAGGGATATCGAAGAAAATTTACACGTGCAAAAGGTACCGTTTGCTGACCTCGTGCTCTCGTAACAACCTATAACAACTAATCCAGTTAAATTATCTGGACTAACTCACGCATAGCGCATACTAATTTGACTAATCTTCTATGACGGCCTTCGCGAATTATTTCGCGACGTAGAATCTTCCGCGAACTCCGGAAATCATTCGGCGCACTTTGGAAGCTGAGCGGCTGAGCCTGCAGTTGAATCGATAGCGTGTTTTAGGAAGCGACGTTAAACGAGACGCAATATCCCAGTAAGTTGCTAACTATATACGTATCGACGAATATGCTCGGCGTATAAACATCGAGTTTAATTGTTTGGAAATGGTTCGTATGTAAATAAACTTGATATTTAACGCGTAGTAGTATTTTCATGTTAAAATTACCTCCTGCAACACGCTCCGCCACTTTCGCAGCAGCGTAATCTTTGTAGGACACATTAAAATAGCGAAAACGAGATAAGACGAGTTTCGAGATAAAACGAAAGCCCGCGATGACGGTTTATCGATTTTCACCCGCGATGCGATATATACCTACGTTATTTACTTGGCGAAATCTCTGTTGCGTCATGCGCATTCTCCAGAGACGTGTTGTACTTACCGTTCTAATAGTAGCAGCAGCTACTCGAGTCGTAGCGCGTTTTCCCGAACAATTAACTTAATCCTCGCAAATTGATCCCGCTTTCGGATCGACCAGGCACTTCGCGAGGTTATTTTTCACCGCTTTCGCCACGTAAATATATCACCTTTACAAAACACGTCACTAATCACAAGTGAAGGTGAAATGGGCAAAAATAAGAGTTGATTAAAATGCACATTGCAGCTCGGGAAAAGCGGCTAACAACGTCGTGTTAATCCGCTTATAAAATTTGTCGTCGCATTTTTCGCAAATCTAGTAAGTAGGTTTTGTTTGAGTTCTCTTTGTAATACGTAAAGATTTTGCGCTGGAAAACGGGCTTGGAATCATCTGCATTGAGATATTCGATGATGTAACATGACGTACTTGAAGTGTAAATCGCATATTTTGCTATAAATTATACTTGAAAAAAGAATGTGACTTGAATGATTCCGGGTAGCGTGAGACCCGTTACCGCGATATTATCTGTTATCTGAAATGTTTCCATTTAAGACAACAGATATAAAGGATAATTTAAGGCAGTAGATACACATCTCAATATTTACGTCTTTACATAGACAGTGTCTCAGAATTATCGCTCTTTTTTATTTGAAAATTTTTGGCGAGTTTGAAGACGATCTCTCGAGACATTAATAATTCCTGTCATAAACATATTCTAGATGTTTTTAAGGACCAAGATCTTAAAGCGTGCCGCTATATAATAGACAAAGACAATTCCTTCAGTTAATCTCATTTTCAGCCAGGTCCTCGTACGAAATTGATCGAAGTGTTTAATATTGAAAACGGAGAAGAGGCAGCTAGAGTGCTCGATCAAATTTTCGTCAGTAAAAAATCGAAGTAATCGTCCCTTGTGGAGTAGTTTCGGCGTACTCATTTTCTCGTCAGCTGTGTACACACGCACCGGCGCCGTCGTAAGCGATTATAGACGTCGCGGTCGTCATTTCGTCGGCTCTTCCTCCGTCAATCTCCTTTTTGAAACGGTAGTTTCACGCGGCGCGAACGTTACACGATCGCCATCGTAATCGGCGACGATAATCGTGTCGCGCGCGATTCCGGAATCTCGTAGATATGGCATACGTGCCAGTGCACGAATCTTGCAAGGAGGCTGATAAAAGTTTTCAACGGCGGTCCGTAGGAAGGTATGACGTTTTCAGATCAGTTGCCCGCCGATCTCGTCGCGGCCGCGCTCAATATCTCGCGTCGTCCTTCGGTGCGCGGAAATTTTTCAGGTCGACGGAGAAGTATCTAGGTGAGTGCTCGCGGAAAATCATTCCGCAACCCCCGCGAAACGGGGAGTTGCGCGCAGACATCACATTCGCTGATATCGAGTTTTCAACACAAGCTACCCTTTTAACATAAAATTAGAATTTTAGGTATTATTCGGCATTGTCGGTATTGTTTGAAATTTATCTCGTGTGTATTTATGTACGCGGCGCATGTGAAGATGACTCGTGAAAATACGGGTAATATTTATCCAGGAAAATCGTCCCTTAACACAACGAGGAAATAAATTATTAGTTTCGTGATAAACATTGAGGATACAGTTACGGTCTGACAAGTGTATGTTTTAATCCTTTTGATACTGATGTGAGTTAAATGTCGCGTAAAGAGATGCTGAAATGTATATCTCATTGTTCAGCGTATATAATACGCGCGTCTGCTTTTGAACCGCGCAACCAACGCTATGTTTTCTCACGATCGATCTCGCGTGTGCTCGTGCCGTAAAATGCAAAGTGTAATTAAAATGCCACGATATAATTAACGAGTTAAACTATCGTTATAGTATAGACAAGAACTATGTGCAATGCAACAAAAAACTGGCGACGGTAAATTAAATATGGTGCATGCTTTCACAGCGCGCATAACGTCATAACGTTTGCTCGTGACTTTTTTTTCGAAATTATAATTTACATAACAAATAAATTGAAGATATATGAATTTGTGCGTCGTGCCTAAAGGCGATCTTTGTATCCTCATAGCTTTTAATTATATAGCGTTAAATTTATTCGATACGACCATGATATAGAAATCGTGACGATTAAGCCCTAGAAGTATAATTAATGAAGAAATTATAGATTTTTAATTAACTGCGCGCCCTTTATATATTTCAACGCAGACTCGTATATTTATAATACTTTCTTATATTAAGGAAGGTGCCGTAAATTGTATATGTGTGAGCGAATGTGTGTGAGTGTGTGTGTGTATGTGTGCGCTACGTCTATCGAATCTCAATCAACTTTATTATCATATCTCAAGCTTTTGACCAGCCTCTCCGAACCGAAGGTTGTATTATTCTGCGAAATCTAATTAATAATTCTGGGTCACCGAAGCTTAATTAACAGTTTTATTAATTCTCAATCTGCAATATCGGTACGTGACACTGTTCGTAACCACTCTGCTTCCATCTTTTCGTTTCTGTTTTTCATTGATTGTTATTACAATTTCTTATCTAGTTGCTTTAAGCCAAAATATCGTTGAAATAATATCACGAATCTTTGTATTTTCTCCACGTAAATATATATATATATATATATATATATATATATTAATGAAAAGAAAGATAACAATGTTAAAAATTAAGAGTTATAATGCTTTAATCGCGTATATCTAAGTGACGTAAAATAATAAAATACAAATTTTGTACTAAAATAATCAGTCAAAAGCGAGGCTAATAGAGTTTCAAAGAATCGCGGAGTAGCGTTTGAAACGCCAATTGCGGAGCGTCGAGCACAAACCCAGGATTTGGCGTATCTTTGCAGTGCTGAGGATGCTGACGCCGAGGCGAGCGGGGCCGGTGGGCCCCGAGGAAATCGGGGACGGGCCCGGTGACAAGGGTGCGAGCAGCGCGACGAGCGGCTCGGTCACCCCAGGCGGCTCCTACGAGAACGGCGACAACTCGAAGGAGTTTATGTCGACCGGAAGGACCGGCAGGAGAAACGCGCTACCGGACATCCTCGGCCGGCACGCCGAGACCGGCCTCTCCGACCTATCAGACCGTTTCGAGGATCTGTCCACCAATACAGGTGTCAATCCACCTTATTCCTCTGCCGCACACGATCTCGAACAGGGAGACTGTAATTAATAAATAACGATCAAAGAAAGTACTTTTTTTGCTCTGCTTCGTTTGCACCATCTGGCCTGGGCATGCACATATTTACGCACATATTTACGCTTCACTCGATTTATCGGAGTATTACAAAACAAATCTTTGCTTATCGCATTTTCTGTTTTGGAAAAAGAAACATTCTTATTTGATGTTATATTTTCGATTTGGCCACGCAGTGTTGTTCTTTCGAAGGGGAACTTGGGTCGCTTAAGGCCCCATGTGTTATAGATGCTACCAACAGCGGGCAGGATCCGAACATACCGAGCACCTCGAAACAGCACGGCTGACATGGCCGTGAAACTTCGTAGCGGATCTCGCTGTCGCGACACATTGGGTCTTTCCATCATCGATGACGACGACGATGAGGACGATGGAAGCATGTATCGTTTCTATGAACAAAGTCCTCGAATGCTCTTTGACTCACGTTATTGCGATAGAATGTATCGATGAACGATTGATGCGCGTAAACGGCGAATCGAACAAGCGTTTCGTCGTTTGCTAGGGAATGTTGGACAATATTTGACGGAAAGCTGACAGAGTTTGTGTTCGAAGGAAATTGATGGAAAATTGAAGGGTTCAATGCAAGAAATCGTAAAATCATAATTTTTGTAAGATTTGCTCTCAATTTTGCAGGTAAACCGTACAAATTATGGATTTGTCTCACTCGTACAATGAATTTTTCGAATAGCACTCAAAGGGAACCAATGCATGATCTTTTGCCGTTAAAGTAAGATCGACCGATGACACGAATAATAAATACCAAGAGATTAGTTTTGCTAGATAAGTCCATCAGTAGCTTGCGCGGAACATTAGACTCATGCACGTTTATCTTCTCGGACTAAAAGTGAGATACGCTTTAACTCATTGTCAGTGAAACGAAAGCAGATGTAAATAAAAGCTGAATTGTTCATAACCTGAAAATTTTTTACTTTATTTTCTTGTTACTGAAATACGAGCCAAAAATATAAAATTTGCAAAAGTGTTTTCCAGCGATTGAACATTTTCTATGTTAAATAATTGACGATTTATTACATATTTCTGTACGTATACTATGTAGTCTGTTAGAATTCTACCGTATTCCGTATTAAAACTGGCAAAGTAAATATATTGAGGCACAGTTAAACTCGCTAAATGTAATATAATATTTGACTCGACTCTGGCTTTGTTAATAACGATGCCGTTTTAAAAATACAGTGGCTACGTGTGCATGTATGTGTGTGTGCGCGCGCGATACATATTTTTAATAAAATTTCTACGAAGGCCCTTTTTATTTTATATTATGCGATTATTGATTAAAAATACTGCGAGAAAGAGGAGCCAATAGAAAACGTGCCATCAAAAAGACTCGTAAAATAATTTAGAATTTTCCACTTTGTCCTCTTGTTAAATTTTACAAGTTCCGCCCTGTGTAAATAGTGGGAGAGTTAATTGTACGCTTTTAATAACCAGGAGCGACATTAATATTAATACACAGTGTATCCATGACAAATACGAGTATTAATTACAGCCTATATCGTTAGAATTATCGCATCCTTCCTAAAAATTACGTACTTTGTGACGTCGCTGCAATATATATATAACAGGGTGTCCTACATCGCGTTAAATCCCAGATCCTTCATTTCGGCTCGTAATTCTAGATTCGTTGATCAGTCTGGTTGCAACAGGATCATAGGTTGCAGCAAACGATGGCCTCGTTTGAGATATTTGCCAACGACTCGAAAAATCTGTCTAATTTATAAGTGAAATTTAATGCGGCCGAAACTCTCCACACGCGCTTTCGACGAGACGCGCTCGTCTTTTCCCCAAATAAATTTTGTTGGTTCTAAACTCACGGTGAAAAAATACATGTATATGAGAGTGGCTTTTCAACATAGTTTCGAGGTAGAAGATACGTCGTGTGAAATTAACTCCGAGGTCTCACGGCCGTAATTTCTCCTTTAAACATCTACCTTGGAAATATAAATCGCGCTTGCAACATTTAAGTTACGAGGTACAGTATTAGGGCGTAATTTTATTAAACGTTGCGCATTTACCTAGGCCGCTCCGGTATCGCGCGATTATCTCTTCTCATTAACGTTATGCAGCAACGTTAACGGCAACGCGCGAAGTACCGAGACACTTTTAGCGGCAGAAACACCGATTAGATGTTTGTACAGATGGAATCAAGCGAATAATAGCGTATACTATAATACAACAGCGGATGTGTACATACGTGTAGATTATTTGAGGGTGATACAACACAATTCACTCGATTGCGAAGGTTGTCCTGGATTTTCACGAACATGCGTATGAGCATAGTTAGTTAAGTTAATCAATAAGGTATATTTAATGTACGATTAAATCTGTATATAGGCAAGTATCGTGTAATCGCGCACACGCCCGTATTCTCAACGTACGTCTTACGCTAAATATGTAGTCACGCTCGACGTTCGTCTCAAATCGTTTGCGTTTCAAGCGGTTTTTTTTCTGCGCTGGACAAACGAAAGCTAGGGTTAGAGACATGGCATGAAGTGTACGTCGAGAATATGGATCACGTTCCCTGCGTGACATAAATAAACATTTTTAGACTTGCGTGTCTCTCGCGCGATTGCCGAGGACATTGGTCTTTACGCATTTCGGAGGGACGACAGACGAGAAGGGAAACATTCTTGGCAACTTGTTACGACGCAGAACGCTCTGGCGATAAAATTAAACGATTCATATCTATACCGATAAGATCAATCCGGGAGCGAATTTTTCGCTCCTTCTATTTCGGCCGTTACAGTACCGTTACAGTACCGCCAAGACTCTCGATAAGTATTCCGCGGAAACGTGTGTGATAAGCAACGATTGATAAATGATTCTCTAATCAAATTCGTGTTGCGCTATCTAATCGTGCGATGCTTATATTTTAAGAATCGACTGCGCTTTCGAGCGACGGAGGTGGGATCCGAGCGTCGATAATGTGTTTTTCACCTGCGTACCTGCTTTTCGTAGTCAATAATGGTATCGCGTCGACCGGAGATAACGGTCAACGTTGTAAACGAGTGTTTGTACGACAAAAAAAATAGCGGATTGAACAGACCCGATCCACTCGAACGATAGCCGCCGACGTTCGCGATTAGTATTTCGACGCAAATGATTTCCGCGCGCGTCGACGATCCGGGCCGCGATAACGCGTGATCACTTATACGTAATTGCGCCCCCGATAACACCGGTCTACGATACCGCTGCAATTATTGTTAAAAAATAATGGAGATCGATCGCGCGGCGCTAAGCACGGTCGAGTATCCCCCATGGCCTTTGTGCGCGAGTGTAATAATTTCCCGCGAGGATGAGAGACTCGTGCGCGCGCGAAGAAGATCGACACACGATTGTAAAACGATGTACTTCTACCTGTGGGAACACAATACAATTTTGATTCATACGTGCGCAAACTCCTTACGTCGCAACCTGACCATTTCCCTATGCCTGTAACGTGAAAGATATTTTTCGTCTCTTCGGGGATTGTGTAGTTGGGGCTGAGCGTTTCGTTTCGTTTCGTTTTTAGTTATCATCGGAAATCTTTCGATCTCAACTGAGATAAAGCGATTATTAAATTTGACGATAAATTGCTTAATTATTTTATCACGCTTATTTATTATTATTACGTTTTACCGCCGTAAAAACTTATAAAATTTCCTTTTACAAAAACTCTGACGTAAAGTATAAGCCGAAAAAAAGACGGCACCATGTGTTGCATGAACATAATTCCAAACACATTTATCTAAATTAAAATTGTGTTACGATGTAAAGAATGATATTTCCGGTAAAAAATGTCTGGAGCGAAGCAAGTATAGATAAGGGGCTTTCCGAGGAGACAGAAGTTAGATAAACTTTTTTCTCCCCCAAGCCAAGGTATGTATCGGTATGGCGTAACGCGGACACGTTTTAACGCGGTGACGGCGGTCGACGTTATCGCGAGGTGCCCCCTCGAACAGCTGCGGCCATTAAACGAGGTGGTCTCGCGGTAAGCGCGAATCTATCGGCTCTCGCGTGCATAATATATGTATAAAGGGAGGATATTAAAGTAGGCCGCGGTCTGCGGGACGAGCCGCAGCATGCGCTTGCATACGGAAAGTATGCGCGCATACTGTGCCACGCACCGGGGAGACGGTGGCAGGTGTGTCGGGACAATGGGAAAATTCCGTTTGCACAGCTTGTCAGGAAGACGAGACCGTCCACGTGCGCATCGTCCGGGAAAATGCCCGTGAGAGGACAGGACAAAGACGGCACCGTCGTATGGCGTCTATACGCGCGAGGGGAGAATGAGAGAGAGAGAGAGAGAGAGAGAAAGAGAGAGCGCCGGATGACCCATTTCAGTGACGAGAGCTCGACGTTCTCCGCAAAATATGGTGAACTACCGCCGATACCGCGGTTGCTGTTTCCGCACTTTTTAAATGTCGCATATAAAATATCCACCTTAAAAAGAAGAAGAATATAATAGCATCTCTGAAAAATCTGTTTCGCATAAATAAAGGTCTCATCATTACATCGAACTTGAACTAGCTTATTCTTTAATTTTTACGCGAATCGTCACATTTTAATGCGTTTCTTTCTCTCATTTTTGTTAATTTATTTATCCTCATAGACGAATTAACAAAATTGTAGTATTAACTGTTGGTTTTCCTATAATGCAAATAAAAAAGAAAAAAGAAAGAATATAATCAATCGCGCCGAAAAATCTGTTTCATAAACAAAGTCCTGCGTTATATCGAGTTCCAGCTACTTTTAATTTTTGTGAATAGTGACGATTTTTAATGTATTTTCCTTTTTTTTTGTTAATCCATTTACCTGTAGACGAATTAACAAAGTCGTAGTTTTAAATCAGTTTTAAATCAGTTCTCAGTTACGCGTAACGCAAACACGATTCTTTAACTATATGCTCGAGTTTTAAAATAATCACATATGATGGTGCGAAACGTAACAATTTTGTTCGCAGACCAAGATTCGTTAGATATCAGATTGTTTAGAGATTTCAAGACCGCGGTCGACATTTGCATCGACATCGAGCGCTTATCAGTTTCGCGAGCCCCGACAGGTGCATCCTTGATAAACGAGAGTGAAAGGTATGATGGATGCACACTCTCATTTGATATATATAACAGGTCGTCAGAGACGTTGAGTAAACAGTGTAAAAACTCGCGTTTCCACGTGTGTTTCTAATCTTGAGGGTTGACGTTTTCCGCGAAGCGGCTATCATCGCCCACCGTAGTTTTTTTATCGCACAGTCGAGGTTGGCATACGATTAAAAAACGATTAAACGCGTCTAATGCAATTACTCGATAATATATTTACTTGTTTCACACGTAGGTACTCGGAGATTTAACACCCTGATTTGCACCTATAATTTTCTATCTCATTTAGATGAGATTAGAATATAAATGCAGCGACATTCTCTGTCGAACTTGTTGTTCATAACGTTCGAGTTTTCCTCGGAAAATCTCTTTGTCAAGAAAATCGTACCATCAGCCAAGTGTGTATGCGTAAACACGCGTGTTCAAATTTGAGAGGGCGAATTGCGAATGCAAATTGCAAACGCCAAGTTGAGTACCTCTTTGTTACGTGCGACAATGAATGCAGCTCGTGTCAGGTGCGTCAAATCGCTACACACAGGTACGAAAACCGTTACAAACGCGCGTTGGAAGCTGTTATTTCTCCGGCCTATGCAAGCAAAGATTATATGCGGGATAGAGACAATAAAGCGCATAAGTTATAGGGGTTCCCACCACGACTGTCAGTGTACGTCTGAACGCGCAGGCGACATTGTTTTGCGACTCGCGGCTCTTATTGTCCTACCCTACCGCGCATTAAAGCACCCTTCGGTTGCGTATTCCGCTTCGTAAAAAACATGTAAATTAAAAGAGATCGACGAAATTTTATTTTGTAAATTAACGTTGCGCTCGGAAATAATTTATCGCTTCTTTGCAAAATGCCGAAAGGATTTATAATCCTTCTCCTCTTTCTAAACTTTGAGCTTTAATTCGGGAACTTTAATTCGGTTTTGCGCGATATCTTTAATTTCGAATCGTCGAAACGAGAGGATTGCGTTTAAACATTTCTCAATTTTTTTCACTAGATTGAGAACTCAATTTCACAAAATAGATTCTTGTCAATTCATTTCAACGCGCCTTATTTCTTGTACTTTGTAGAAAATATAAGTAAAATTTGGCTTGTCACGGTATATAATTCCATCTTCGATATATATCTTTGTGAAGGTGATTCTTGCCAATGTCTTCTAATTATTTGTCGAAGTTGTTTCAAACGCGTTCTCAATTAAGTTACGCGTAGCAACTCGTTTGTAGAATCTCGTACAGAAATGTGTGTCGACCTGTCTTTAGGAGGAAACTGAGAAACGTTGATGAAACCGTCAGCGATGTCCGTCATTAGGAAAATTTTAACACATAACAGAGATGGATGAGAATAAAAGAAATGTCACTGATATGCCTTATCCTCAGTGGACTGTTGCAAAGTCTCGGCGTTCTCTCATGATTAATGTTCGGTAAGTAACATAAATTGTATATATCGAATTTCGCGATGTACTTATTTGTTTTGCTATATCAGCTATATAAACAGCATTTCGAAAGTATGTTAAATCAGAGTACCAACTTAAAAGTTATTTTATAGCAGAGTAAGCGAGAAATTAAAATTCATCACTCGGGCACTCGAGCACGATATTTGATCCGGATATTTTTATTTAACGTTTAGCTGAAGACGGGGTTTGACCGATTTAATTTAATCTTTTTTAATAGGGTAAACGTAGCAAGAACGAAACTCTTAGGCACGACAAGACCGAGCGAACCTGGCTAACGAGCACTCTGCATAATAAAAATCGATTTATCAATTATGATTCGCAAATAAACGCCCTTTCTTCAACAAAGACGACTGTGCGCAAACATTTCAATTTAATGATCCGAGCATTCTCGGCTAATGGTCGCGCAATTCACGAAACCCATGTTGAAATTAATCGTGACTACTACTGATCTTTGTTCTTGTTATGTGATATGGACATTACATGATTACTTTCGTCGATGTAGGCCATTTTTTAATTTTAACACATCGTTATGTCAGTTATGTGTGAAGATGTCTTTATTATATTATTATAATACTGAGATTTTATCAGATATATTATTATGTTATTCTATTCTAATCTATTTTTAATCGCGTATTAAAAACAAAAGCCACGCGATACAAGTTGTTCCGAGTTGTTTTTACACAAGTTTTGCGTGCCGAGGTTTCCTCACTTTGATTTGTCGATTAGTTGATCTTTTATTCCAAAGCCTGAGATGATCGATCGTTGAGTATGACGTCAGGCTAATTATTTAAACGATCATATCACGACTATACGAGCACGCTTTCACCGCGCCATTATTCTATAGAAAGATTTTCATATGAAAAATATATGAAAGTTTATGCGGAACATACCTACTTTATTTTACGTAGCACGCAAGATAACATAATTATATAATTAAATGTTTTTCTATTTAATAATTACTATTTAATAATAAAGTATTTTTTGAAGGTAGATTTTGTTTGTTACGTAAATAAAATATTTTATAATATTTAAGAGTGAAAGATTCTGAAGAAGTTCTGTAATCTATACCTAAAAGTTAGAAACTAATAAATAAGTAAAGCAATTTAAATTTTTAACTACCTTTCCTCGCACTTAAAAACAGCTAGAAAATAAAGCAGCAATAAAAAATATAACGATTATACGAATCCTCTTCACTATCTTCGACACTGTCAAAGAGAAAAGTGAGTAAGAATCGTATCTTTTCGCGATCGATAAATCGAGGATGATAATAATTTGGAGGTAGGTCGAATCTCCACAATTCTTGAGAATTAGACGCGCGACGAATTATAAATTTAATTACTTTCCAATGTCGTGACGATGACGTCAGAGTTTGCTTCTCCGAAGCGCGTGTTTCTCCCTCTCCGTGCACGGGCGCGAGTTCCTCGCGCCTCGTTGTCGAGGACGAGGCCTCAGCAGCCCCGAGTTTCCACTGGCTGTCCGAAGTGGACATTTATTGAACCTGCGATGTTTATAAAGCTCCCTCCGTCCTGCCACCTCGCCGTATGATAAAGTTCAGAAATAACGAGTTCTATCTTCTGTCCGTCATGCGATCGTGTTCTGTGCACACCGTAACCCGTGGCGTGCCCCGTGCAAGGTGCGTTTCCGAGTGATAAAATCTCCTGCGTCGAGGAAAGAAAAATCGTGCTCGATTAATCTGGTGCAAATGGGTATTAAGCGAAGTTAGAAAACCGCGAGGGAGAGGAAGCAAAACTCATATATCTTTTGTAAATGGATGAAATTAATTAATTGAATAATAATGGGCTCATATTCTTTACTTGCCGAGGAATATCTTAATATTGAAAAAAAATATCAAATCGTCCCGCTTTCTTTGGTTCAAAAAATAATAAATCTTAAACGTTATTTGGTACACGTTGAAAGTGTGATCGATGAGGCACTCTTGACTAAAAAAAAATGCGTATTTTTATTCATTAAACTCGCCTCGTTTTTTAAAAAATACGAATTATTCGATTAGACGATTCTGCAAGCAGCACAATGGAATATCGCGATGGATATACCCACGGAGTAAGAGCAATTCTTTTCAGATCGCCCAAGAGCAGCCTGCGCAACAGCAGGTTCGATCCTATGAAGACCGACATAGTGATGCCCGAAAGTAAGTTCGGCCTTGATCCGATTACGCAATTTCCTGATACCTGCGAATTAATTTACTATGTCGCTGTGACGATTTTTAGTGCTGGCACCCGTCGTGCCCCCGTCAGATACCTTCAATCCTTCCACCGATAGTCTGCACGCGGCCATGAGACCAATTATTATGCTGGCCCAATGCTTCTCCATGTTTCCGGTGTGCGGTGTCAATAAGCCGGACGCCTCGTACCTTCGGTAGGCGAAAACGAACAGTTTGCGATTGTCTAATCGAGTTTAATTTGCTCGTTCAATTTTTTTTATGATTTTTTAATTATCCCGATCGGAGCTCTCACGAGCCTTATGAATGTCCTGCAGATTTACATGGCGCAATCCGAAAATCTTGTACACGCTAATCAGTTTTCTGGGGGTGTCGCTCGTGTCGATTGGCAACATCCTGCGTTTGTTTTTATCGGGGTTAAATTCTACAAAAATGAGTAAGTCAGCCTCGTTATAAGCAACGTTGGATTTAGGCAGTTATAGTTTGTTGTTTCTATAAGCGATACTTATCTTAAATACCATCAGCGACTTTCGTTTTCTACGTCACGGCCATGGTGACCACCATCATGTTCGTACGGCTGGCGATGCAGTGGCCTTGTCTAGCGTTAACTTGGGAAAAACTGGAACGCGAATTCACTTCGAGACATCGGCGGATTTCGAAGACCACTCTCGCAATTCGTTTCAAAATCGTAACCGCCGTTGTCATGTTACTCGCGTTAGGTGAGTGCTAATCATAATAAACAAGATGAAGATTACTAAAATAAGGATTCTAAATTAAATTGACTTTTTGTAAAAGAAGAAATAAAATTTAGAATTAAAATACATTTACTTTAGAAATAAAATTACATTAACGTGACCTAATTTCTCTCGTTGATAAGTTACACGTTCATTTTTATCTAGTACTCTTGCTATTTCGAACGTCAAAGTTACATGTCAGTTAAATAAAAATATATATTGAAATTTCGCGTAACGAATGTGAATTTATTTTAAATATTTTCATGTAGTGGAACACAGTGCCGCTGTGCTTTCTGCGTACATCAGTGCAATCGAATGCGCAGCGTATCGCGGTGAAACGGACGTTGTCGGTACTTATTTTCAATCGCAATTCCCTCAGGTAATATACTGGATACACTTAATTCGTAATTTTACCGCACTTTCGAGTCAGATTCATTTTCAAACGTTAAAAAACGCGTTTTGCTTCTCTTTTTCTCTGTAAGAAATTCTTCAAAGCAAGATGAAAAAATGTAGATTCATGTGCTCAGCATGTAATATCGTTGATTGATCAACTTTATACAGATCTTCACAATAATATCCTACAGTCTTTGGAAGGGGATCATGGTTGAATCTATAAATATCCTCAGCACATTCTCGTGGAACTTCGTCGATCTGTTTCTTATTCTTATCAGCATAGCTTTGGCGGACCAGTTCAGGCAACTAAACAGTCGCCTCTATTCGATACGGGGAAAGGTATAGTGCAAATTATTATAAGACATTTACCTTTTCCTGTGAAAACATCAATGATCCATGCACGTATCAATATCCCTTATTTAAGTTGTCGCATTTTAATTGTCAATCCAATGTGATATATTAATACAAGAAAAAAAATCGTTGATTACGATGGAAAAATTTGTGCTTCTATTAACAACTCGTCGCTGTTATCTTGTCATTAAGGCGATGCCAGAATGGTGGTGGGCCGAAGCCAGGAGTGACTATAATCACTTGGCGACTCTTACGCGCAGAGTGGACTGTCACATCTCGAGCATCGTGCTTCTGTCCTTTGCTACAGATTTGTACTTCATCTGTATCCAATTGCTGTTTTCCTTCAAGTATATTTTCCATCTAACACTTTAATATTACGTAACAGTTTTTCTTTAAATATAACCTACATCGAATTTTTCAGAAACTACTAAAATTTTTATTTATGCTTATAAATGTAACATAATATTTAGACTTATATTTAAATTAATATTCACGATGTTATCAATTTTGTGCCAATATTAGTTTTGTTCGCAAGAAGGTTTTATAAAGTTTTATATCAGAACTTTACGTTATGAGAGTTTCTAGGTGAAGTAGATCGCATTAAGTTTTGCACGTATTTTTCAAACAGCCCAATACGCGGTATCGTGCGGAAGATCTACTTTTGCTTTTCCTTCGGCTTTCTGTTGGCGAGGACAACAGCGGTATCCCTGTACGCAGCTTCCGTTCATGACGAGTCCCGTCTGCCGGCACCGATTTTGTACAGCGTCTCTGGTTCTAGTTACAGCAACGAGGTTCGTCTCGAGAGAAATATTATTATATAGTCTAGATCGATTAATCTCTGTATAAACTGACGCGCGATAATCCGAGAGAGAGCTCTAACAATAAGTAAAAATCTAATATCTTTCAACGTGTATTTTCTTGGTACATTATTAATAAATTAAAAATTTTTTTTATTAAAGAAAAGTTTCCTCTTTTATGATCAAGAAACTTACGGGGGTTTGAAAGATTATATGATGTCGGTTACGTGAAGAAAATAACGAATGCTATTTATGTAAGAGTTAATTTTCTCGATCGCTCTTCTACTTACACATAAGTTAGCACGTAAATTTGCGCAGGTCTCAAGATTCTTGACGCAAGTAACGACGGATAATATCAGTTTGACAGGAATGAAATTTTTCTCCGTGACGAGAGGCCTTGTGTTAACCGTAAGTACGATAATTAGATACGCTAAGTGTAACTTATTTATGCTTAATTTTATTTGACTAAAATCAAACTTATTGCGCTGCGAAGTATTGTTAATTATTCGTATTTTCTCAATCATTTTTGCGTACCACTCATTCGATGTATTACTTCGATCTATTAAACGTTTATCTTTAAAAAGAAATTTTGAAAATATATTTATTTGCTATAAAAATTGTATACACAATTTAACTGAATAATGAAAGCTGAATATTGTTGAAATATCGTTATTAAAACGAGATTTAAATTAATTTTAAATAATAATTATGAAATATGTTTAATTCGTCATTCCGACTATGAATGACGGTTTAGGTTGCTGGAACCATCGTGACTTATGAACTGGTTCTGGTACAATTCAACTCCGTCCAGCAAGTCGACCAGTCGAATATAACGAACGTTTGCGAGGTGAAGTAGAGAGTTTTCGAAAAGATTTTTAAGGATTTCGATCACTTATATCTGCTTCTGCATCTGCAAATCACACGAGTTTTGAAAAATGTGCAATAGAATATTTTATCGTGTAAATACAACTTTGTACCGCGCTCTTACACTTCACAAACTTCTTTACTTATCTATTCTAGCACTCTTACATTTTTAACAGCTAATTCAACGAGATTAATTCACCGTTTCGCAGTTTGTTTGTTTCATGAACAATTGGATTTGACTTTTGCTAAATCTTTTATGTTTCGTACATAGAAACTTTCTATCGTTTGGAAGCTGCTGCGACATAACTTCAGACTATTTAATTGAAATTTACCGATCTGTTTCATTTACATATCTATATCTATCGCTATATCATCTATGTCTATATCACTGTATTGACTACACAAATCGCACAATTCTATTATAATAAATGCTATCATTAAATAAATTTTAAACTGCATTACATCGTTGCATTTTATTATGGAAACTTTCTGATTGTTCCCCTCTTTTGTAACCAATTTCCTCAAACTTGCTTTTTATCTTATATTTTGTAATATTTTATATAGGTACCATGAAATTTTCGCTGGATTCCAGTCATCTATTTTCACATTGCTTGTGGTAATTTTTCTGCAGTTTTATGTAAGATAAGTATGCATGCGAATTATGCTGTGACACAAATAAGGTTTTTTTTTTAAATGCAATATATTATTTTTACTTTCTCCATAATATATTTCTTTCTCTCTCTTTCTATCTCTTTCTTTCGCAATATATTTCTTACTTATTATTTTTGCATGATTTTATTTTTTGATTTATTTTTTGTTTTAGTCTTTCCAGATGTATTAATCCGATATACTCTGGAGGAAAGCTCTGGAAAAAGGATGTTTCACCAGCGTTAAATTTAATATTATTGTTTTATAAGACAATATATATACCGCACTTCTACATTAGATGCGGAGAACACATCGTCATCTACAGGAATTGATCAAAGGCACATACAAATATTTTTATCTGTTTATGATCTATATTGCAATAATTTTGTATAAACGTTATCTGTGATTCTGTGAACGATAAACTAAAAATATTTAAATATAATGGTTAAGAATCTTGTACAGAATATATATTATTTTTTAAAGATATATATTTACGTAGAAATAGTATCAGAGATTGAAAGATATTATTAAAACTTAAAGCACATTGAATCTTTAATACCTGAATGCAAATGTAAGATAAGATGAACAATACATTTATATAATTATGAAAATTTACTTAAATTATTGAAAATAGCTCGGCATCATATTGTAAATATGTATTGGAAAATATATTGAATAATTAAAGCTACATTTTTTGCGATAAAATAACCATGTTCTTGTTACAATAAATATTCCTTGCATTATTGTCCTTGCAAAATACATTTTTTTTAAATAGTATATAATTGCAGAAATAGCAACATTTAGCACAAATTGCGAGGAGATGATAATGTTTAGGATGATTTTTTAATTTCAATGAATACAAATACTTATATTACCTTATATAATCTAGTTTGTGACAGTTTGCCTATCGGCGACGTTACATTGTTACATATACATTGTTACATATATTTAATTGTTCATTGAGACGTTAAATTGTAGCAACACAACTTCGTACGTTACAATTGCACCAGCCACCTGTACATGAATTTGAAAAAGATTATCATCATGTAAAGATATCGAAAATCATGAAAACAATGATATAAACAAATATTAATTAAATCTTTTTCGCTTCCAATGCCATTAATACATACGGATAAATCAAGTAATACATAAAATACACTTTACTTTATGTATATCCTTAGTATCTGTATTTTTATCTTATTTTATATGCGTTATATAAATGCATTATATACCGCAAAATTACTCTTTTTATTGAATTTTGAGATTTGTTCTTACCGCCAACATAAAGTTCCGCGTAATAGAAAAGAAACGCATTCCCGTAAGCATGATGTCATCAGTGGTGAGTAGATATATCAGCCTTTCTGTCTGTAAAACAATCGTATGGATTATCATATGTACATATAAGAAATTAAGCGAATTAACTAAATAATTTATACAACGCGTTGAGGGATTATGGTATTCGTGAATTGATGAATATGAATTTCAAGGGATTATGGTATTTACTGCTTTTTTTACGTTGATGAAATTCGAATGGTTTACCTCTACATTGTAGGTGGATGCTGAACAAGTATACAACAGCGGCAATATCACTTTACTTTGATCATAGATCCTGGCAGCGAGCAGGGTGACGACCACCGTTCTGCCGATCAGGAACATAAAAGATCCGAAGAAGTATATATCACTAAGTATGTTGGCATTTTCCGGTTTTCTGTAAGGAAGATAGAATAAAATGAGAATCGCGCGAAATTAAAATTCAACATTTGCATCACGTTTGAAATTATTAAAGAAGACGTATTATTATTGCATTATGTTGCATGCAGTTACATTTGCTAAACCAATAGAAAATCGACGAAAGATGTTTTTCGCCGTTGTAAACTTTTCTTCCATCCGAGTCACGCGAAAGAGCAAGTATAATTATATAAAAATGCGTTTATTGGAAGCGTCGACAACTATAATTTTTCTAATTAATGGTTAATTAATAATAACAATAATTGATTTTGTTGTCTTTTCTTTTTCGTCATGTGAAGCACTTACGACAATCCATTGAGTAGCTGTAAACAGATGAAATAAAGATTGTTTCCAAACGACAGGAGAATTATGGGTGCGATATTCTTGTCAGCTTTCTTCACCATGCAACTAAGAGCAGCGTAATCTTCACGCAATCCACACCAGTCTATTGTCCGATGTTTCGATGTTGACCTTATCACTTCCTTGTTCAACGTTTTGTATCTTTCGGCCAAGCCGGTAGCTACCTGGACACTCAGACCAGAAGATCGAGTTAGTTAATTAGATTGAAAACATTTAGTTCTGAGCAGTTCTGAGTAGAGAAATATGTTCAATCACTTGCAAAGTTTTATTACCAGCATGATGAAAACGTCAGTGAAATTCCACGTGAAAGTCGCAAGTTTGCTGGCGATAAAAATGAAAATACCGAGTTCAAAGTTATACGTCACTGAAAATAAAAAAGTTTTAAGTTTGCTAAAGTAATCAAGGTTTTTTAAAAAAATTTAGAAAAAGAGAAACATGCGTTTAAAAAAAAGTCTTTGGAGAAATGGGTGTAAGTTTAATTACTTTACAGGGATAGTCAAATTGAACTGCTATTAAAAGAAAGCAATTACAATTGAAGAAATTAGAAAATTGCAAATTTTAAAACAATATAATTATTGAATGTCATTAAAACATTTTGATATTTTTTTACGCAAAGATTGATTAATTAATTTAATTAGATTACTGAGACATTTTATTCAAACATTATTTAATTTGTTTGCGAACGATGCTTTTAGATCAGCATCTAAATCTAAGAGATCGCTGCTTACATGTCTCCAAGATAAAGGCGTGAGAAGACGTGCAATATATTTGTAGAAAATTTTGAAATGTCGAATTCTCCGAACTGCCGCTCCAGTCGTACTTTGTGGTGTTCACCACGATACTCAATATATGTTCGACAAGGGCCATGAGCAGAATAGAAGCGGTTATCGCGTAGAATTTCCAACGGAGCTTCGGTCGTTCCACCTTATTACTGCAAAACCGAAAGATTCTGGTAAATTTACATCGACAGACTTGTAAGGTGGTGCAAAATTAATTAACTTTGAAGAGAAACATTGCTCAGTGGAATTTCCAAGAAGAAACAATCGATTCTAAAAGACAATATGGCTTCAACGTGGTGTCTTTAAACATTTACGCCGCTCGAGGCAGATTACAAGCGACGATATCTTTTGATGATGGATGCTACAGACACGCGATCACCGTGCCGTATATGCGTATCTAGTATGTGAGAAAGTTAGATTCATCTATATTACACCAAACTATGTAGACACGCGCGGTATAATATAAATATACGTAATATATATTTAACATATTACGCATATTTATCATCAAAAAGAGAGAGGGAGAGAGCGCATAATAATTATAATAATATCGTAATTATTTCCGATCCGCATGCGAGTATATGCAGCTGCACATGCAATTCTGAAGTGTGCGAGCGCGATCATCGATCAGTTAGTGACGATCTTCCACAGCCTTTCAAACAACACACTGATATCTATTATCTACCTGTCTATGAATTGCTCCATAGACCTCCAATTGCGTTGAAGAGTTATCCAATGTGGCGACAGCCAGAAAAATATTATCAGGCCTATCACGCTGTTCCCATAAAATATCGCGCCTGCCGTAGCAGACGCTATTCCTCCTAAAATCCAATCGCATTTAAGTATTGACAGTACGTTTTGGAAGAAAAAATGTGGAAATAATGTGATGCGGCTGATATGTCGATGAAAATAAGCAATCTTCCATTTGCATTTATTTTCACATAAATCTTATTCAGTTTTAAAGTATAAATACTATTTGAGATAAAGTACAAAAGCGAAAAATAATTTTGCAATTTTTTTTATTTTCTCTTGTTTTCATTTTATTTCTGGAAAGAGAATCTGCTGAGAATTTCGATTAACTTTACGAGTTAATCCTTTTGCGTATCGTTATCCTTCACTATGAAATAAAGCTATGTATATCAGTCTCTATATAGATGCGGCATAGTGCTATATAAAGCGTAAAATACTTATTTGTTTACCTTTCACTTCAAAAGTGGTGGAGTTCAGCGTTCTTATCATGTGAATAACCGCCAATACCGCCACAACTAACACCATCGCGTTTATGAAAACGGCGTAGGCGGTACGAAACGAAAATTTCGCAAACTTTAACTGCGACGGGTTCGATCTGCATACTCCTGAAACCGGTAGAACTCCAAACAATTGAGCCATCGCTAAAACCGGCCCTATCGCACAGTGGAAGCTCTCTGGATCCTACAAGAGAATTTTTCATTCGATATTACAATACTTTACTTTTATCGCGTGTAATATGAATCTCAAATATATCGATCAACGTAAAAAGTTTTCTTTAAAAAGAAAAAGGTTTATTTAATTTTATACTTAACTATAGATTTTAATTATATCCACTTTCCTCACTTTCTTTTATATTTTCGATAATTTTCTTTTTTTTTTCGAAGCTTCGAGGAATAAAACTTCTGCGATATATGAAACAAGCAGTCGAGTCTTTTTACGATACTTACATTGTTGTTCGCGGACAGAGTTTGTTCACTCGGGAAACCACTGTGAAGGAACGGTCGTGGCCTCGGCGGAGTCGGAGGATGAGAGTCCGAAAATTGAGTTTCTATCCCGTTCACCTTGTCCTTCCTCTGACGCATCAGGAGCAATGGCAGGATCTTTTTACGAGTCACGTTTTTCTTAGAACTCGCAGTAAGTATCCGCTTCGTCTTCAACATCATGCTGTAGTTGACGTTTAGTGAACCGCCCATTTCATCGCAGAAATCCTGATATAATTAAATTGATTATTTCGTAATAATAAAAAAGAAAACGTAAAGTTAAAATTCCCCGACACCTGCGTGTCTCGAAAGAGACATAAATTTATTGTCCAGTTTATTGTGCGTGAGCCCATTAGCGACTGTTAAATGTTAATTCGCAACATCGCGATTGATTAAACTGGGAGCGCCTGGAGGGTTTTCCTCATACACGCACAAGTCGCATTATAGAAATTTAAACAAGAGTGAGTGAAAGATATAATAATTGCGTTAATTCCCTGTACGCGCATTGAAATGCATTAGTTTAATGTATTATACATAATTTAATTACTTGTTGTGTCTCGCTATAGCTTTGTACCCTTTTATAATATTTTTCAAATACGAAACGGAAATTGATGGGATGTTATGCGACGCGTAATTAAGAGCGATACGTGCGAATCGCGCATTAAGTAATGTAAAATTTGTGCACGTATATCTTAGAAAATCCTAACGAGGGAAATGCGAGTTGCCGTAAATAGTTTTAAAGATCTAATAGAACCTAGCACGTCAAATTTTTTTGCATTCTGACGTTAATCATCAATATAAACATTTTTACATACGCGTTAAAAAAATGGATTGATGGTGTTCGTTTAAAGTGAACGTGATAGCTCGAACAATTAATTATCGTCGTGTTATATCATCGAATACGAATGAGCCATCGCATTCTGTCATGTAAAAGGGTTGGTCGTTTGTCCAGCGTGGGTAAAAAACCCGATATGTTGACGCAGACAACCGATTCGCGCGTCAAGTGCAACGTCATTTCACGTTTGTTTATTCTTGAAGAATAACTCTTGTCAAGCGTTATTAAGTGGCTATCGCGAGCAATTTCCGAGGAATAGGTCGTCCATAAATTTCCGCTATTAGACTCACGCGTGAAATCATAAAATAGCAATAGCATATGCGCGCGTCTTTATGCAAACTGACGGGAAGAAAGTGATGGTAATTCATGAATATATGTGTGTGGTTACAGCAGTTCTACAGAGTTTTATAAGAATATTAAAATGTAAAAATAAAAAATCGAAAGTGTATACAAATAAAAAAAATTATGTAAAACATCTGCAAAGAGAGATACAATTAATGTCTATTAGAAAATTTATATTTTTCTATTTATTATTTATATACCAGCTTTTATTATTTATTGATAATTAGATACATATTTATAAATAAGGATTATTATTTTTTCAAGAAATGCTTATTTAAGGGATGTTCAACAAATTTGACACGACACTGCAACAGTATAGCTCTTCCGTTTCTCTTTTTCTTAAAAAAATCGATAAGAGATATGTAATGTAAAAATATTACAAATATATTAATATGATATAAAAACACGTAATATTAATATTTTACAATTTTATCTTTGTGTTTATGTTAACTATATATGATATATACATATAGAGATCTATACATTTGTTGTTTTGTGTCATAAACTCATGAATGTTGGATGTCGTTCAAATATAGTATTATACAAACTCACATATTACATATTTTTCTTATTGAAACTATACATCAAGTTAAATCGATTCTTATCAACCGTTTATTAATTTCTCATTAATCTTGGTTCAAAATCGTAAATATAAATCATCATTTTCAGCGCAGCTGTATATCGAGCTGTTGATGTTGTGTATTTTGTAGCTACAGATCTAATGTGCACACATTGAAATATTAAGGTATTTTAATCGTATTTGCAATTATAATCAATAATTTGACATTCGAAATTATTTATCTGTTTGTCATGAAACAGATATCCGGATAAACATATGACTACTGTATTTCCCAAACTGATGTCATTCGTGCTCATCAAAAAGCAAAATTTCTGATTTCTTATCAACATTTGTTTACTTCAAGAAAAAAAAAACAAATTTATAATCATTTGTATTTAAAATTATAATACAAATATAAATACTTAAGATCAAGAAAAAGATAACGTTAAAAAAATATTGATTAAATTTGATATTACCTAAAGTTTATGTATTATATAGAAATGTCGAAACGCGCGCGCGCGCGCGAAAGTGTTACTAATATAATAAAAAAATAATATATGTAAAATATACATATACTTCACTGTTTTAAATTATTTCAAATAAATACTTCAGTTCTTTAATTCTGCAATACTAATAGAACACTTGACAATTATTCAGTTATATTTTAGATTGTTGTTAAAATATCATGGGACATATAACCGAAAACAAGAAGAAATGACACTTCTGATAAGGATCTCTTTAATTTTTAATTATTTTTTAATTGTTCGAGGCTCTTCGTGGAAACGATACTGTGTCGGGAATTAGGAATCGTAATGTAAGTACCTACATGAAATCTTGCTCTCCGTGATTCTCGTTACCATGAATGTCATCTGAGGAAAGATGCAGACGGTGGGTAAGAAACTAGAAACAGGTGAGTTTCAGCGACAGTCGCGTCTAACCGCCACTCGAGTGTCTCTAACGTGCACTAGCGAACAAAGACCGGCTTGAAGATTATATGCGGAGCTGCGCGACGCATGTCCGATCAGATAGTCGGCTATACCACTTACGCGGAGCTTTGCTGAGAATAAAATCCACGTGTACGACACTGATCGTATTGATTGCATTGTTTGCTTTTCTATTTTTTTGCGTAAATTATGACCACCTATTTGTCTTAGACTCCTTCGAATGTTGCGGGATCAAATGTTCCAGCTTGATCAACACCCACTACAGCAGTTTCGGAATTAATTAACGAATTATAAATATGTGGTTTTGTTATTCTAAAATTGGGATATTCAAATCAGAGCGTTAAAATTTTTCGAGTGTTTAATTGAACTTTTAAGGGCCAGTTGTTCCAAGCTATTGGTAAACTAATAGTTAAATCATATGTCTATCTTTGTTTAATTTGAAGGAAAAATAAAAGACACATATATGATTTAACTATTAGTTAGTTTACCAACAGGTTGGAACAACCGCGCGGCCCTAAATTATTTGTACTTTACTGTCTTTCGATCTCTTCTCTGTTCTAGAAAATCTTAAATTCTTTTAAACAATTCAAGGTGAAGCCGAATGAGAGAAGAAGAATTATATAAGAATCAATAAATTTATTTATTATATTTATTACTCTAATTAATAATCGAACAAAATAAAATATTTTACGTTCTCTATCAGAGAAGTTTGATGATCGCAACGCATTTATTATTACAATTAGAACATTCGTGTAAAAAAAAAGTAAATTTATTTATGAATTTCAATTAATTAATGGCTTCATAATTTAAGACCTGAATTTTTGCGTTACGATGGCTTTTTTAAATTTACCTAAATAATAGTTTACAATCGTTTGATCAGTACATATTTACGCTTTGCGATGAGACGAGATAAGCAGTCGTGTCAAAGCGAGTTAGACGCGTTAGAATTAATAAAATATTCAAGGATGCGGTTTGTTCCCGCAAACAGTTATGAGGAATACACTAATAAATGAGATATGAGTAACGAAGGAAAACAGCGAGAACTGTTTACACATAGCATGTACGTCACCGAATCGATTTCTTCACAAAAAAACATACGTATGCCCGATGTAAAGCCGAATAATTGAAACTAACATACGCATCATTCTCTGAATAGAAAAGCACAAGTTTATAATATTCTCGATTCGTACAAATCTCGATTTTCATGTAAGCTGCGATCGACAGTTAATAATTAACTTTTTACGTGATCCAATATAAGCATATCTAGCAATTTATAATTGTACGAAATTTCTTCAATTATTATTCTTTGAGATACATCGATATTCTTTCTCCAGCCATATTAAATTACGATAACAGAAATCACTTACGTATATTGCATAAATCTTTCTTTTCTTCGTGCAGTATACATAAATTAATTTCATATAAATGTCATGCACGTTATGCAGTAAATGCATAATTTATTCCGTTTTACATTTTCAGTGTAAAGTAATAAATGGTCAAGATTTACGGGTCTATTTAGCAATCCATCAAGCTAAAAAAAGTTCTTGATATATCTTACTAATCTGTACAAATGTGCAAGATACGGTGTGGGAAAAAAATTAATTTGTTTCGGCATACAATGGGAAAAAAGTTCATGATTTCTCGTTTCTGACGTCACAATATAATAATGTAGAAGTAGGAGAACGATAAAACGTACGTAGGGAAACATAATGGTGATTTATTCTATTCATATCCTCTCGTGTATCATTTACGCTTCATTAGTATTCACTTATAGCACAATATGCAAGTAATATACAGTCTAAGGTGCATATCGTTCTACCAAATGGCACGTTGCACTCCAGCCATTTTATTATAATCAACTAGGTGGCGAAAGATGAATCGTGATACCCTCCATCGAACCATCGTACCTCGGCCTCGAGACGTCACAACGCATCTCGTTGTTAATTGTCTCAACGCGGTCTGTCTGGGAATTGTTTCATCTAGTTGCTTGCCAGCGAGCTCCTGAAAGAGAATCATTTATATGTGGTTTCAATTACTCCAGAATATTATTATACTACATTAGATAATATGTACAGCGCTGTTTCAAATAGAGAATTATACATATAAGTGCGCTGTACATAAAAATGCATCGATGAAAAGCGACATGATGCAAGGAAAATTCTGCGTTTTCGTCAATTTTATGTTCTCCGATTAAAGAAAGATCGGTTATTTTTGCAGGTGGGACTTACTCTTATCTCGATTGGCAAAATATCGTTGCGTTTCAAGGCAACCAGCCGCAATCGTTCCTCGGCGTACTGCTTCGCCCATCGCCTACGCTTCTGATCGCGCACCACCCTGCAGCCGACGTAGTTCCGTATCTGTTGCAGCTGTACAGAGAAAGCACGATGTAATTAGACGAAAAGAACACACGGTTTATGTCAGTGCAGCAACACTGACGTAAGATGTAACAGTCTACGACTCTCGAACATCCACTTATATCTCGATAAGTTTATATTGATGTAAAAACATGGATTATAAAAAGTCTATCGCTCAGGTAGTCACTTACGCCGTGTCCCAGTAAATTTATATTGTTCGGCAAAATGTTGCAGGCAGCCGAGATGCAACCTCTCAACGCCGCCATGTTTACCGATCAGCTGTTTGTCTACCGCACGTGTCAAGCGTCGAGACTCGAGCCCCGTCCGCTTGATAACTTCATTGGTCAACGAAGTTATTGTTGAATTCGTCCGCTGTCAAGCTTGAAATAATAATGTTAATAATTAAATAATAATTGATGAAATTATAATAAATATTGATAATATAATTTATCTAAATAAATATAATAATATAGTAAATAAAATTTTAAAATAATAAATACAATAAATATAATAAATTTGATTATAATAAAATTATAATAAATTTTAAAATTAGTTATTTTAATTGTTATATTTGGAAATTGGAGACAACGTCTGCGAGCTCCACGTAACATTCGTTTACAGCATCCCTAATTCCCTACGTAAATTTCCCTATATATTACAGCAGGGAGATTTCTCTCTCCTTAGGTGCACATAATCAAGGAATGTCTCTCTTTTTCGTTGTTTTTCATGGAACACCCGGGAGTCGCGGGACGCGGGGGACCCTTTCGGTGCCCTTTGGACACTTGCGTCATCATTGTCATCAAATCAAAGAAGAAGGCCTTTAGACACTAACGATAGTTGTGAATGGTTGTTTCTTTTCGTATCACCAGGGTGATACGAAAGGAAGGTGACGGATAACGTTTTTTTCTGCATCTCTCACACCAGCTAAGACCGATAAGATCCGGACATTATGAGGGCAATATATCTTTTAGCCCTTATCGCCGTCATTGGTAAGTGCTGATGCTGAGTTCGGTTCTAGATACATTTCTTGAGAATCTCAAGCTTGCTCCACTTTTTATCGTGACTGCGTTATTAGTACTTGTTATCTTGGTATTTTACTAGATGCTGCCTTATACCTTTGCCGCATTATCGCATATTCGATATTTAAAAAATGGCTCGTCTACAATAGCCGTAAAAGTATGCAGTAAAACGTGAGTAGTAAGCTATTGACCAACCACAGTCGATTATTCTTGAATTGTAAAAATCCCATTAGTCAACAGCTTACTCCTTACGTCTTACTGCATATTGTTGCGGCTATTGTAGACGAGCCATGGCCATAACGGTGGAAATGTTTACAGCGATACTCCCTGAGAGCGGAGTATATGCACGCAAGCCCTCCAGGCAGACGGATGATCAGAATGTCAAAAGTGAGAAAGCGGCGTCATCCATAAACGAGTCGCATCCACTTCCAAGTCGGAAATGGATTTCAGCCTGGGGGATCATCGCGCTAATCATAGGCATCATCGTACTCAGTACGATCACTTACTACGCTTTCCTACTGTACCCATATTTATGCAAGAAAGAGGCGGCCTACGACATCATAGAGTTAACGGAAGTTAATTCTGTGTGCACTGTTAGCGATAATGTTAACAACGTGCCGCACATGAGAGTATATTGCGACTCGAACGACTCAAACAACGTATCAAATGACGCATCGTTGAATCAATGAGAGTAAGCCTAAAATGATAAACGTAACTCAGACATTTATTTTATAAGCATAGATACATTCACTTAGAGTAACAGTATTTTTGTACGAGTTTAATAGCAATTAAGTTTTATACCAACTTAACACTTCCATTAGATTTTTAGAGTAGAAAAATATTAAGATTGAGATCGCGTTTTCGTATTCCCTTATATACGCAATAGGCTGAATTTTTATAAGTATTTACAGCGATCGATGGAAATAATTTCATTTTTATTGCATTTATATATACCGTTGTAAGAGAAGACTGACCTATACAAACTAAAGATTATCTTAGACACGTGTTGGAAACGAAAAAATATTAAATGTCTAAAAAAATTTTAAATGAGAAATGTTACATAATCGTTAGTTTGTACAAATAGCGTATAACATACAGCAATTTTGCTTGTGATGGAAGACTCTAAAAGACTGCAAAAAAGTATACTCGTTTTAATTAGCTGAGGATATTAATGTTATACTTTATACTAAAACACGTCACAATAACAAACTGATTTTTATAATCCCCAAATTTGGTCCCGTTATAGGGAAAAAGCAATTAATAGCCTTGCCGAGTTTTTTCTTGCGCTACCAATATGTAAAAAGCTCATATTCATAAAAATGACTTCTGTAGAAATAGTATGATGTATATTTATTACAAATAGGATTTTTTTACATAAACTATGTGTATCTTAAACAACCTACTTTTAAAAAATAATCATCAGGCTAATAAATGCATAATGACACACGGAGCGCGTACTTCAAACTGCTCTACCTTTTTCCTATCCAGACACATGGAGAACGATGCAAACAACATAGGAGTTACATACGTACGTTTATGACGGGAGTCTAAACTAGTTCATTTCTCCTAAAGCAACGCAAAAAAAAATGTAGAAAATTGGCTTTTCGGATGGAAGAGTTACTTAAACGTGTGTTTTGTAAAACTAGACAATTGCACCTGAGAACTGGTCTTCCTTAGGATACACAGAGCGACAAATGATTATATCGATATATATATGTATGTATCGATATTAGGTTTTCATACAAAAATCATTGAATGGAATTATATTCCTTACCATTAATTTCGTTATGAAATTAATCGATGTAGGCTCTTAAGTATATATGGATATTAAGTCTGATGATACAAAATAAATTTCCGGGCGAATATGACTCGTATACCGATTCGCGATTACGCCCTTAATCAGTTTTTATCAGAACCGATATACGTTGTGTGCGATGAATTCTTTTAAGAAGAATTCAGTCGTTGGCTTTCAGTAAGTTATAGTTCGTCTTTCTCGTCTAGGTTAACATCACTAAGATCGATATCCTCTTCCTGCGGAGGTTCGGCGTCCTTGCCGTCCCAAGGGGTTGTTTCGATGATGACAGGCAATTGAGCACCCTTCAAGGGCGCGGTGCCACCTCTGCCATAACTCAAATCTCGTAGGAATTCGTTTATTCCGTCGTATGAAAAACTACCTTTTAACAAAGAGTATTTCATCTTCTTGATATTGACGGCCGCTAACGCGGGATAGCCAAAACCTCCGATCTCTAATGCATCCTCGATGTTCGGTTGAGCATTAGCTTCAGCCCAAACCCATCTACATGAAAAATAGAATATTTCGTGAGAATTATTAACAACCGAACATGGTTTATGCGATATAAAACAAACTTATAGCCTCTTTAAAAAAATCACATTATGAAAAGATTTTTTTCTACTCTTGAATTATATTAAAAGTAATTGTATTAATTCTATAAAATTTTTATATTAATATCCTATCTGTGTGTTGCTTAATCTATCCTACTTTCTTCATGACTTATTGTGAAATAAATTTTGTAATAAGAATTAAAATATAAAAAAATACTAATTAGTTTCATAAATAATCAAATTATGAAAGAAGAAACAGTTATGGATATTATTAAATTACATATACATCAGTTTATAATACGTACCCCCACATCTTCTTCTTATATTTTTCGCCAAGGCTAGTTAGAGTTTTTAAATATCCATTCCTACAATCGGACTGACAGTCCAGGATATGTGGCAGAACGGAAACTACGCAGATCGGCTTGTCTTCGCACGCGGCTCTCAGTTTTTGCTCAGACGTTATTTGCACCACTTCCGGCGCTGGGATATTTTCGGCTAGTTTCTCGAGCGCCCAGTTGACAATGTCACCGCTCGTGCGACCGCCGTCGTAGTCTTGCATCGAGTCAGCGTCCTTCTTGCCCGGTGCGAAGAATTTGATAGTGGGATAGCCTTTGATCTCGTATTTACTTGCCTGTAACATCATGTGCGTTAAAACAAGTTTGCCATATAGACCGTGTTGCAAGGAAATATTAAGAAAGCATGTATCTCACTTTCAACGTGTTCACAGTGGCGTCCAAAGCTCCCAGTTTGACTTTGCCCTTCAGTTCGGTAGCCGCTGCTGCCCACTCAGGCGCTAGGTTTTTGCAGTGACCGCACCAAGGAGCGTAGAATTCAACTAGCCACATATCCTCAGAATTTAAAACAGTCTTGTCAAAGTTTTCGTCCGTCAGTTCTATTACATCTTTAGGATCTTTGCTCTGCAAATGAAGTTACATAAATATTATTTAGCAATTCGCACATCAGTAAACTATCTTTTCTACTTTTGTACAAATATCACGCTCTCTATTTAAATATTCTTCGTAAATAAATCCCAAGCTAGTCCTATTCGAACTGTAGCTTACCTTAGATTCACCTCCTGAAGTTTTGCCACTTAGCGTTCTTCGAACCTTTTGACTGGCGGCGTTTAACGCAGCGTCGACAATGCCAGCTGCGCTTCTCGGGCCATTATAGTCTTCTGGTTTTTTGTCAAGCCCAAATATCTTAATTGTTGGGAAACCACGAACCCCGTACTTGCCTCCCAGAGACTTGTGCTCGTCTGCATTTACCGCGCCAACTTTTACAACTCCCTGTTAGGACACATAACCATACATACATACATATATATGTTCCTATGTGTGTATATACAAGTAGAAAAACAAAAAAATTGAACATGACGAGTCACCTTTAATGCAGTAGCCGCTTTGTCATATTCCGGCAACAACTGTTTACAGTGTCCGCACCACGGCGCGTAGAATTCCACCACCCAGATGTGATCGCTATTTAACACTAATTTATCAAAACTATTTGGATCAAGATCAATGACGGCTGAATTAGGGGCGTACATGGAGTTCGCTCCAGCGATTAGCAGAAGGACACCTGTAACGAAAAGAGCACATGAGAGTATGCGACAAGATATGTACGTCGGATGGACGCGCGAGTGTCTAAATTTACGCGATTAAGCCGCGCGGGAGGCTGCGAGGGAGCGGAGGAGAACGACGACGTTCTTTCTCGCGAGAACGGGATCCGAGGGGACACTTGTTGCGGTGTCGTTCACACAGAACTCCGGCGATAACGCCGGAGTAGTGTCAACGTCAGAAGCCATCGGCGTCGACGATAATCGGAGTTCGGCGCCGGCGACTCGGCGATTCGCCGCGCGCGACTCACCTAGGAGCCTCGACATCTTTCCGTGGATCGTACGGGCGACACGCGACATCACGAGCAGTCATTCACATCCGCCGAAAGCACAGCGACGACCGCACACAGCACACCGCCTCCGCACAAAGCCCCGACCGTTCTGACTCTTCTGACGTTTGCCCGGATGCGCTGCGCTGGCGGCAACCAGCGGCAACCCGGCCGCCGAGTGCCGACGGGCGACTTTTATCGTGGAGCGTTCCGATTGGCTCGCCGCCGCGCTCGCGAGCCCTCGATGTATCGCGATGTATCGCGCGACCGTTGGCGACTCGCGACTCGCGAGTGTTCGCGACTATTCGTATTTCGTCATTCGTATTCGGGGACGGCGGTGGAAGGGACGCGGACGCGCTCGGATCTCGCGGGCTCAAATTGTTCTGCATTTTCCTCTTTTCGGTCCGACGACGGGAAATTCTCATCGCGAGAGTGCCTACCGAAAGATCGCTCGCTCGTCTCTCGTTCGCGACGCGAATAGTCAGGTACGTGCCGTCGTTACGCGTGAAAATCTCGAATTGAACCGATTTGCGACCGAGACGGTAGACGTAGGACGGATCGGCGCCGGCGCCGACGGTAGGCGGTAGTACGAATCTCTCCGTGTTCTTATTTTCCTCGCTCGCGATTGTTACTACTTCTCGTATAATTGTCGAGGAGCGGAATTTCGGCCGTGAAAGCGTCTCGCCGAGCGCTCGCGCGTGACGCGACATATTAGGCGCGCTGCCGGCGTACGAATATCACGACGCTTCGGCGTTGCGTTGCGTCGCCATTTTTGCGCGCCCTTGATTGAACTGATTGAAGTCCTTTTCGTCCGCCATTACTTCCATCCGAGTTCCGAGAGTCCCGAAGTGCGTCTGAGAGGATGGATGGAGACTGGATGCGAGACGGTTGTGTTATCAGCATACAAGTACGTCCTCGTCTCATCGTTTGTAATTACTGATTATATTTTTCGTAACGTTTGAATAACGAAAGAATTAATTCAGGTCACTAGCTGAGAAAATGACTTCCTTCTGAGGCGCATCTGAGAGGATGGATGGAGACGGAGACTGGATGCGAGACGGTTATCAGCGTACAGGTACGTCCTCGTCTTATCGTTTGTAATTATTTATTGCATTTTTTGTAACGTTTGAATAACAAAAGAAATAATTCAGGCCACTGCCTGGGAAAATTGATAATGGCATAATTCAAAAAAATTGTTACGAATTTTTAAAGTTAAATTAGAGATTCAGGCCGCTCTGCCTGAGAAAACCGATGGAAATATAATTTTAAAAAATATTACACGTCTTGAAAGGTATATTAAAGAGTATAATATATTCAGGCTGTTTTGCTGCCTAAATTGATATAGCAAATAAGAAAATTTGAAAAATACCTGATTTAAATTTGATTAAAGGAAAGACATTGCGACATTACATATGTATAATAGCTGCAATATATAATACAGTATACGAGTCGTAAGGAAAAGTAATAATCCGAATATTATCCTATTTGTTAAATAATACTAGCCTTGGCTGATATTATTAGGCACTCTCATAATTATTATGCTGTACGGAATCTAATTCCAGGAAAGACTTTTATTATTTGAAAGTTGTTTATCAGAGCGTTCATTATTATGAACGCGTTTATGCGTTTATTTTTTTATTTCTTTAAAAATCAAATGTTATTTTGAAAAAAGAAAAAAAAACTTAATTTTAATATAAATAATTTTAGCCAAGGCTGTAGAAAATAAAATATAGAAATAAAACTAGAAAAATAATAGAAAAAATTAATAAAATACTAAATCGTATAACAATCGAGAAATCTCTAATTAGGATACCACAGAACGTAACGTGGTATAGATGAATAATTGGCGACATTTTTTATTTCTGGAGAGTTAAGTAAAAAATCGACTGAAAAAGATGAAACTGTGCATTCGTTGTTTTGTGTGTCACGAAAAGAATTACGATTTTTCTCACTCCCACATTCGTGCTACGTATAATATATTTCTTTCATATACATTATCAACGCATTATTTTTTTTTTACATTTTTACTTCGCGTGTATAATCGCTTGCGGTTATAAAAATTGCATTCAATTACGATACGTATAAAATTCAATTGATAAAAAATTTTATCGATAGTTATTCAAAGCACCCGCTTGGGCGATAGCAGCTTCACGAGTGAAAAGCGATAGTCAGCGGCGGCATAACTATTTGACTTTGAACATCAATACTTGATTATTGCTGTCACATTCGATAATCTCGAATTTACGATTAAATTACGACATTGCCATTAGCTCACATAGATAATCTTTTTTATTATTAATGTAATTTTCGTCTGCTTCACTCAATTTAGACCGTCATAGCGTTACAAATCACGTTCCAGTCGAAGAACCCATTTCCGCGTGCAGTCTTTAATTAATAAAATTTAAGACAATTTAGAAACGAGTTCTTCAATATCAACCTATCAAATTCTTTGACACAACATTTCGACATTAAACGTGAAGCAGGCGAAGATCTCGAAATGGAGTGAGTCGCGTCTCGCGTACAAAGGGGAGTGTTAGGCTTGTGAATCGGCGCCGGGAAAGAGACGAGGGCAAGAGTGCGCTTAAAAAGATTAGACGCTAATTTATCGGGGAGTACAAGAACGAGCTTTCTTCTTTGCGGAGAGGGACCGGGGAGAGACTGGGCGTCGCCGCGATTTCCTCTTCTAGCGTCTCGCCCTCGGCGCTTGCGTCTGCTTTTTATCGTGCATACGCTTGCAGATCGGAATGTGCCGCTCCGCGGCAGACCGATTGAACTTCCGGCCACAGTGCTCGCACTGAACGTAATCGCTGGTATCGCTGGGTGGCGGGGGCGGCAAATCGCTCAGATTCTCACCCGCCGCCAATCGTGCCTGCGTCTCCCTTGCGTAGCGGATTGCGCTGATGAATTCCTCGTGTTTGCGTCGCCAGTCCGGCTTCGACTCCGACTTCTTCGTTTTTGTCTGAAAACAATGTGAGCGTATGAATGCTTTTGTCTTCCTTGGGAGGGAACGAGTTAGCCAGGCACCGGACTTCGCGAAATAAAACCGCGACAATCCGGACGAAGCGTATACATTTTTAATCATTGATTCTTTCCGAAGATATTCTTTGATACCAACCTCTCGCTTAGCGAGGCCTTTCTTAACGAAAGGCTCGAGTTCGGTTCCTTTAACTCGGCACATCACTGGATCGAACTGCTTCCTCTTCTTGGTCGCAGTTTTCACGCAGATCTCTTCGTGGAGTTCGATTCGATTTTGCGCGAAGCTACGCCCGCATGTTTTACACCTTACCAGACCTTTCCTGCCATTTTAGTTACAATATCATATAATAATTAAACTTTACGTTTATATTATCTAATCTTTTTGAGATGAAAGAATTTTTAAGTTTTTAATTTTTATGATATAAATTATACTAAATTCTATGAAAATAACATCACATTCATATTTCACATTACACTTTTGAAAGTCACAGACAGAAATTTGAAAAAGGTTCCAATTTTGATAATAATTTATATGGATTTTTATCTGACATAAAAATTATTGTTTCCTAATAAAATATAAAATTGGACCGTAAAAAACTTACGTATCGGTAGTTGTATCTTCATTGAAACTTGATGCGTTTGCAAGCTTGCCACTACTGGAAGAAGGCTTTTCTGTACCTTTACCTTTACTTTTAACTCCTCCTTTTCCTATTCCTTTTCCTCTTTCACTTTCCGCCATTCTACTTTTCACACTGGAATCTTGAACTAAGTTAAAACTAGAATTCGACGACGAGGTCGGCTGGCCTGATACACTGGAAGCTGTCTGTTGCTTCTGCAAATAAACAGATTGCGCGTATAAATTAAGAGATATAAAAGTTACGTAAAAATATATTTCTATACAGAATGTACACTGAAACGTACGCGATTTTGATTGAAGAATTCGCTTTTCGATGGCGAAGTAAAAATTTAGGTTACTAAGTTAACATAATTGTACCTTCTATAATGTAATTTGAGTTTATTAATTGCCTTCATTGACACTTTCTCCTGAATGCTGCAATTAACGTGTGAGTTTTCTTCTGACTTTTTGACAGATTATATCCGCCAATTGACTTTGATTGCAATTGTTTGGGAAATAAATTACACTACACAACCGTGAGAACATTTAGTTTTGCGCCAGATATCTGGCCTTGTAAATATCTTTTTCGGAAAATGTATAATTATTTAAGTAAATGTGTAATTGAATGATGAATAAGAAGTTTGATGCGTAAGAATTAGTTAATATCAAATCATTTATTTATATGTTTCAGAAGATATCGACGCGGAAAGTGTCGCATCGAGGGAGCTGACAACCCGAAAGGACAGCCTGAGAGGAGGAGGAGGCCTGGGAGAGGCATCGGGCGCCAGTGGAACAACTTTGCGGTAAATATTATTTTTTATTTCGTGTAAAAGTAATTTTTTCTTGTTTATTCTCGAGTTGTTTTATTTCCCCGTGATTTAGAAATAATAATTAGAAGAAAATAAGTAATTTAATATTGTAGAAATTTATCTTTGTAAAGATTCTTTTCGTAAAATGTTTCATCATTTAAATTAATATCTAATTAAATAATAAAAAGTTTGATGCACATAGGAATTATGTTTCAAAACATTCGGTTTTTTGAACACCATTTTAATATGAATTTTATGTTTGTATGTTACAGATACAACGTAGCTACGTGGCAGATGTAATTCCGCTGTTGCGCATCGGGGTCGGTGAGTAATGAATTAACATATTTTTTTAGATAGAGGTAACGGATGTATGGCAACCTATAAAATATATACCACGAAAAATGTATACCTTAAATGTATACCACATATCTAGATAAACGTATGCAATTTGATAATAACATAAATTTATAGCATTCCATACATCTGTTGCCTTAAAATGAATCAGTTAATTTAGATTTGTGTGGATTTATAAAAGAAAGCAACCCGAAGTAACGAAAGGTGAGAAATGAATTATTTCACGCAGCGTCGCTTGGTCCAGGCGATGAAAACAATATAATAAATAACATTTGTGCATGGGAAAGTAAAAAAATCGGTCTTACGTCGTTAGAAGACTTCTTCATCGACGATTTTTTGAACGGCATTGCATCGTCTTCTTTCGATGGTCGATCGTCGAAATCGATCATAAAGGATTTTCTTGTAGATTCGTCCGGCGAACCATTTTGGAGAACGACACCGTCGGTTGTGTCGAATTTATTTCCGGTCGAATCCGCACCTTTTCCGATCGTTGATCTTCTCGAAGGCTTCGATTCTTGATTCCTCGATTCTGTACGCTGAGGGAGTAGGTCATTAAATTCAATATTAATTTAAAATCAATTATAATACGAAAACATATACCAATTATCTTGAATATTTCGGGTAAGGAAGAAAACGGAATCATGATGGATCACGAAACATTTTTAATATTCTACGAGGTTTCAATAATACACTAATCGACTAATGATACACTACTAATCTATAGGAAAATTTAACCTAACATCTGTAACGTAATCGGACAAAAATTTCGTTTTACTATAATAGGTAGAAGACAAAATAAATAAATGAAAAGAAAGGAATAGGGCGTTGTAAAGTCATTTTCGTTATCACAAAGCAAGTTTACAGTGATTTAATCGGATTTTTCAATCGTACTTACCCTAGGGGCAACCTCAGGACTTTTCGAAGGGGACGAAGGAGCGCTTCCTCTTGTCGCTCGCGCGTTCGTTTCGCGCTGCTTTGTCGCAGTCAAATCGGGGCTCGGGCTCTTCGTGATCCTGGATACACAGGATTTAATTTTAATCAGTCTCGCGGGATCGGCGCCGAGAAATACGTTTTTCGCTGCATTGGTCACAGGACTTGATCTCCTCGCCTCTCGCGAGGCCGAACGCTGATTTGCAATCGCTGACCTCGACTCTCCCGTAGCGACTAATTTATTTCGTTCGTCACCGATCGATTTTCGAATATCCTCGATGGACCGCAGCGGTTTCACGGAAAACGTGGACGTTTCTTCCGAACTCATCGATTCTTTCGTAACGTCGTGACTGAGACCTTTGGAAGACCTTTTGTTTGAGATTGCTTTGTCTTTACGAAATCTGAAATTTACGAAGGGACAATTCTCATCCTTTCGCGCTTTTACGTAACTCGATTTTGGCCGTTCTTCTTGAATCTCCTTCTCCGAATCGGATTCAAACAATCGCCGCTTGCACGTCGGTGATCGAATTTTCGTTGATCTCTGCTTGCTTTCGATGGGGCTTCCGACTCTCGTTGATCTCTTAGAGGGGCGAGTCTTCTTTTGGAGAATTCTGAAATCACTTTTGTACGCGGCGTTTTTAGCTTTCAGATCTCTGTCGACTGGAGATTTTAGCATCGATCTCAAAATCGTATGATCCGTTACTTCGCGAGAAGGGACTGTTGTTCCTTCAGAGGCGATCGATTCTTTAATGGAAACTTTTGCTTGGGCGTCTATCGTTTGTAAGGAGATCTCTGGAGATGCCCGGAAGTTCGTCGGACTTGAACGTTCAAATTCCGCACCTATGGAATCGAATCGTCTCAACGCCGACTCCACGGAGTCCAGTCTTTTGAGATCTTTTTCAGATCTGTCCTCGCGTAGCATTTTCGAAAATTCTTTCACGCTATCTTCGGTCTTACGTTTTACGCTCATTTTATTGAACGATTCCGTCAATTTTTTCGCGACTAGCACACTCTCGTGTTTGCGATCTTTGATGGTGTACGTCGAAAATTTAGATGCAGAGCTTTGATCTGCTTTTGATACGATACTCCGGGATGAGAAAATTTTCGGGATACAGGCGTCACGAGAAATTTCTGCTGTTTTTCGCAAAGGTGAAACGCGTGGCGAAACCCTAGACTTTACGTCGTGCCGCCTGCCACGTTCTCTCGTCGGAGAGATTGTTTTCTTTGAAGTACTCGACTGCATCGGCTTCTGCATCGTTTCGCGAAGGGAGATCTTTTTGTTTGCGATCCGATCAGTGAAGTTTGGGCGAGTGATCTTGCGGTAATCCTTGATCTCTTCATTCAAAGCGGTTTCAGCTACCGTTTGATACTTTACGCCGATCCCAGCGTCAACCTCATCTACTCCTATTTTATTTTTGTCTTTATTTTTGTCTTCTCCTCTTCCTCGATTATATTCGTCGTTTGTAGACAAGTTTCTGTCCTTTGCAGTACCCTGCACCAGTCGCGCAGACCGCAAGTTTTGCGGTTGATCGAATTTTGTGCGTGCTTCTTTGGTCCTCCCCGCGAAGTCGTATAAAATCGGCGAAACTGTATATTTTCTTACCCTAGAAAAATCAGGAGACGTTGCTTTCGGATTATCAGCCCTATTTTCTGCAGAACGATTTCGCATTCGATTTAAAGATCGAGAACTCGCGCGCTCTCGATCTTCACGTTTCGTGGATTGAGTCGCAATGTAGTTAGCTTGATTTCTTGCGGATTGTTTCCGCGTTTGAGAAGACATTCTACTTTCATCTTTCCTGTCGCGAGTTCCGAGATAAGAACTTTCGCTTACAGGACCGAATTTCAGGCTGATGACACTTTCCTCGCTCTCTCGATCGCTTCGGCGATCCGTGTATCTCCTTTTGGAGAGATCTCTCTTGAAAGCGCTTGATTCGAAAATGGACTCTCTCTGTCTATGCGTTTTGCGAACAGGATAGGTGATCGAGGTTTTGAATTTCGCTCTGCCGCTAGGCAATTTCGTGTATGTTCCATCAAATTGTCGCTTCAGTATTGGGCTCGACGCTTTTTGCAGTTTGTCGCGTTCAATACGATGATCCGTCATAGTAATCTCTTGAATGTCCATGTCAACTTCTGTCGGCGTAATGGTTTTGCGAGAGAACTCTGGCGTGGCTCTCTTCCTGCTTTCAATAGACGGCGATCTCGTTGTTTGGAGAAGTGGCGGTGTTTTACGTTGATTTTTCGATTGATTGCCTCTTGCGGAGATTCGAGTATTTACGTTTGTACTATTGCGTTTCGAGGGCGATTGACGAATGGCGCGATGTTTTCCGTCTTGGGACTTCATGAATTTACGGACGAGCCCTGCTGATTGCAAAATATTATCGAATTCCAAACCGTACTTGAGGTTTACGATCGAGCTGGCCGATGTCGCGGATGTCTCCGAGATTTTCGATGATCTGCGAGTTTCCGTAATATTTTTGAAGACTTCGTTTTTACTGGAAGCTCTTTTCACTTCGTGTCTAGTAATTGAAGGACTTGGAGTGTGTCTATATTTCGTAGAACTGACTTTTTTATCAATCGGAGATTTTACAGGTCGTCTATAGGAAGTATCTGGGACATAAGTGCGATGTTTTAATACATTTTTAGTAGAATCCGTTGATCTCGATCTTGGCTCGATCAACATTGTTGTGGCAGATTTTTCAGATTCTTTGCAGAAAAATTGCGGACTCGTAGAACGTTTGTCGCGCGTAATTCTAGGCAATTTAAATCCATTGTATCTGCGATCGATGCTCGTAGTGATGACAGATCGTTGCTCGGTCTTTCCTTTTAGCAGTCGTGGAGTTGCGCTTCGCTTCGTCAATATTTTTTGATCATACGATCTAGGTTCACTAACTTTGCGATCAATGCTCATAGTTGTGCCAGATCGTTCTGATTCACGGCAAAAAAATTGCGGTCTTGTGTTTCGCTTGCTCCACTCGGACGATTTGGATTCGTTGGTTTCTCGATCGGTACTCATAGCTGTTCCGGATCGTTTGGACTCACGATATGGCGGGCTCGTGCTTTGCCTTGACGAAATTCCTCTGTCACCCCATATCGGTGATTTAGATTCACTCGTTCTGCGAGATTGTTCGGACTCACTGAAAAAAAATCGCGGACTTGCGCTTCGCTTCGTTACTATTTCTCGATCGTATGACGGCGATGACGGCGATCTAGATTTGCTAGATGCACGATCGATGCTCATAGTTGTGGCAGATTGTTCGGATTCTCTGCAGAAAAATTGCGGACTGGTGCTTCGCTCTTTTAATACTTTCTCTTCATACAATGGTGATTTAAATTGAGAAGATTGTTGATCGAGAGTCGTATTTGTTTGAACTTTTTTCCGCTCAGAATCGGTCATATCTCGCTTTGTTAATATTCCCTTATTCCACTCGGACGATTTGGATCCGATAGTTTCTCGATCGGTACTGATAGCTGTTTCGAATCGTTTTGGTTCATAATAAAAATATTGCGGACTCGTGCTTCGTCTTGACGAAATTCCTGTGTCACTCCATATCGGTGATTTAGATTCACTCGTTCTTTGAGAATGTTTGGACTCACTTAGAAAGAATCGCGGACTTCCGCTTCGCTTCGTTATTATTTCTCGATCGTATGACGGCGATCTAGATTCACTAGGTGCACGATCGATGCTCATGGTCGTGGCAGATCGTTCGGATTCTTTGCAAAAAAATTGCGGACTGGTGCTTCGCCTTTTGAATACATTCTCTTCATACAATGGCAATTTAAATCGAGGAGATTGTCGACCGAGAGTCGTACTTGTTTCCCTTTTCCGTTCGAAATCGGTCGTATCTCGCTTTAATATTCCCTTGCTCCGTTCGGACGATTTGGATCCGATAGTTTCTCGATCGGTACTCATAGCTGTTTCGGACCGTTTGGGTTCATAATAAAAGTATTGCGGACTCGTGCTTCGTCTTGACGAAATTCCTGTGTCACCCCATACTGGTGACTTAGACTCACTCGTTCTGCGAGATTGTTTGAATTCATTGAGGAAGAATGGACTTCTGTTTTGTTTCGTCGACGTTTCCCGATGAAATAATGGTGATCCAGACGAATCGGACTTTCGATCGATGCTCATAGTCGTGACAGATCTTTCGGATTCTCTACAAAAGAACTGCGGACTCGCGCTACGTCTTACGAATATTTTTCCATCGGACGTCAATGACTTAAATTCATTATTCCGAGGATAAAATCTCGAAGCGGGTTCCGCCTTTGTAGCTTCTCTCGTCAAGAAGCTTCGCGGACTCGTGCGTTGACTGAGCGTCTCGGTATCCGAACTTTCCCTTCGTCTCGCGCTCATTTCGTCAGCTACGCGAATTCTAACCGACAGCGGACTTTTTGCATTTTCGAAAATCCTTTGACTGCGCTCTGAGGTCCGGCTACTTCCGTTTCTCATGCTGGTTGGGGAAGTCCCAGCGATCTCGCTCCTTAGTCTGAGAACGCACAGTCGAGAAAGCAAATGTAGAACGACTTTGAAGCGGGACCGCTAAGAGAGGCGTGCTTTTTCTTACAGCAGTCGGCCTTATTTTTCGGCCCAGCGCCCAAGCTAATTAGCGCTAGTTGGTTTTTTTTTGTAGTGGACGTTGCGCTAGTTACAGTTTCCTCGCAACCCGGTGTTAAATCTGCTTCGCGTGAATTGCGGTTAAATGCGACGCGTACGATGATAATTAAGCTTGAATGGTTTTGCACGTTTCTTCGGATCGGAGCAAAGGCACGCATTTGCTCGTTTGCATACTTAGATTAATCAAATTAATTACTCTTCTCCGCTCATTTATTCAATGTTTACGATTCTGCCAAATTAGTCATCCACCGTCTGTCCTCTTTTTAATGTTCGCTCTAGTTTACGGCGATGAGGCGAGGGTTAAACACATATTAGAACAAAAACGATCACCGGTGATATTATATTCTTCCTTTTTCCTTTCGAACTTTTTACAATGGACATTGTTAACGCGATATATTTGGAATAGTCGAGGGTAGCGATTGCAACTACGTGACATACACATAAATTAATTTTGGCAAGCAGCGGCGAATTGTTAGCGATTTGTCGATAATCGAGATTCGCAATTATTTGCACAGCTACATAAATAATAGACTTAATTTCGAATCTCGAGAATGTGTCATATTCTTATATAATCTGTCTTCTTTACTATACTCTACTCTAGAGAAACGTTCTTACCTGGAATTCGATTTTGTCCCTTGTTCCGACCGCTTTCTTATCACCGTGCTCGAAGTCGACTGTTTCGGCACGTTACTCCTTTTCGCGTTCGCGTTCTTGAATCGTTCGAGTCGTTCTTCCGCCTGAGACAATTTCTTCGTGACGTTCCTCTTCGAGAGCTTGTCGGGCTTGTCGTCCACCATGAGGTATTCCGGAAACTCCTCGCTCTCCAAATCGTTCCTCACGCGATGCTTCAGAGTCTCGTCGAACCCCATCAGATGGATCTTCGCCATCATACGATTTCTCTCTATCATGTCCTGGTCGATCGCTTCTTCTTGCTGCGTTCAAGATATTAACATACGGGTAATAAAAAAAAATAGCAATATTCGTAAAACATGTTTAGCAAAGTGACATCTGTGTTGAACGAATTATATATTTTAAAAGAATATTTTTTTCAATGTTTCTAATTTCTGTTTTGCGATTTTAGATATACGACTAAATTGCATGTATCCTACAAGATATGACGTCAAGTTAAAAATTAAACACCTTGCGTGCAACCAACCTCATTGTCAATTTCGTGACGATAATGTCCATTGGCGAACGTGGCGACGCGGTTCTCGACGCCGTACTCGTCCTCGTCATCGTGACGACGTACGGATGGCCCGAATGAGTCGCGAACGATCTCTTCGTGGTAAGAAACGACGGGTTTGCCGCCGTTAACGTTGCTGTTGAAGTCCGCGCGTGTCACGCGTTTCACGGACTGTCGATTCACCGTCACATTACCGTTCCTCTGCGTCACCACGCCGTTCGTATTCGCTTGCTTTCGCAGCCTGTTCTCGAGCGGTTCCAGCGGGTAGCTCCTGTCGATTCCCTTCACGGTAGTCTGCCGCCTCTCGTCGAACATTTGCCTCACCTGTGCGACAATTAACGCTCGAGCGAGATTTCAAACGACAAATTAAACGTTCGCAAGATCGCCTAAATTTGCAACTTGCTAAAATTCCATTTCTGCGTGAAAGAAATAATAAAAAATAGCATTTATACTTTCGGAATCGTTTTCGAAGATAAATCAGCGCGCAACGGAACGGCTGATTCTATAGTAGGTAAACCGATTTCCACTTACTTTACCGCCTTGCGAGGTCGAGGTCGTGTGGCTCGCCGTCGTCGTCGTCGTTGTTGTCGCGGTTCTGCCGTGATTCGAGCTGTTGGAACCCGCGCTACCCCGTTGCACCACCTGGTAGGCCCTCTGCTGCTGCTGGTCGTACAGCTGCAGCAGCTTCTGCTCCTTCTCCTGCAGCTGTTTCTGCTGGAAGCGGGCCTGCGTCGCGGGATAATTCGCTTTGAGTATCGGTGTGTCGCCGCGCGGAAATGCGGGCCGACGTTGCTCGCGGTTGGAACGTCGGCTCGCATGCGAGAGGTGCATGGTATCGCGGCAGGCTCTACTGCAGGCTATAGAAACGACGATGCACATGCAGGCACCGGCGCTGCCTCATCGATTCACCTCTAACCTACATGCCGAGGGGGGTTAGTAAACTCGTTATTATGCTAAAGCAGGGATCGTTCGTCTCTTAACCCTGCGCCGCTCGACGCTTTGGCTCTTTCGCACCCGAGGTGTATTATTAGAGGTATTACTCTCGATTGCGAAGTTATGAGTGAACTCGTGCGATTATATAGCCACCGATGATGATAAGGTCTCAATTTCATTTACAAAAGAGTTGACGAAAAAAGATTCGCGCTGCTATTCTGTAAATTGGATTTTTTCAGTAATTATACTGATTCAATTATAATCGTATATTGAAGAAAAAAAGATTTTCTCCCGATACTCTAAATTAAAAAAAAAATTTAATTATAGTACATTGCTTAATTAAATTATTTAATTAAAACATCCGTTTTTATGAAATATCATAAAGAAATAAATTGATAGAGTAATATTTCTCCAAGGTTTAATAATTTTTTTGCTTTTCTTGATAAGCTCATTATTAACTTTTTACGACATATATTCCGTGAGAATTGGAATTTTGTGTAATCATTTTGGGAACGACGATGGGGCAAAGATCAACTGCGGTTTAATAATCATGCAGCAGTTCCTAATTGTATATCCCTTCAATGATTGCATCGGCAATCAGCCGCGCTACTAATTGATTCGTTCCTAATGAACCCGCCATATTGAACACTTTGCTTCTATATACCGTGCAGTTACTCGGCGTAAACTCGAGATTCAACGAGATTATTGATAATGATAATGCAGTGTTAATTGGTTATTCGTGATTATATACCAATTAACAAGTATACTAGGAAATTTTTAGACGCGGTACAAAGAACTGCATTAAGGCAATCTTGACTTCTAGACAACCATTGTATTCTGCACGACCAATACGTGTAATTATTTAGACGTCAGATTAGTCCAGTATTACAAGGCGAAAGTATTTTCCAGATCTAGGAAACAATTTGTAAACCACGCACATAGAGTTAAATTACACGTTATTGACCGCATATGTAGAATTATCATTATTTCTTCCAATCAGTAAATACCCGTAATGCGTTGCCATTACATTGGTAATACATGTCCGTTAGATTTCAGCGATCGATACGCCTGGTAAACATGATAGCTATTTCCGCCGTGTTCTAATTAAATAATGCTATTTGATAATGCTTCGACCATTAATAGCTGATTGCGAATTGAACATGGAGAAACGAAAAATAGACGAAAGACGAACAAGAAGATGAAACTTAAATGGCGAGTTTAGCACAATGTTAGTTGAAAATAAATCAATAAACGATACGCGAAGTAGCGCTTCGGGATCGTATCTGTTTTATACGTGCGGTAGAAACGTGCGCGAGCGGTTTTTAAAGGAAGGGATCGTGGACTGGGTGTCGATTTAAATCGCGTGGGCACAGCGTGGATTACTCGAGATTCGAGAAGTCGACGACTCCGACATACATGACCGTATATAGAATAAGCGACGTTCCCGTTTCTCCCGTGCCTCGCTTCGCGGTTTCTCCTTTTCCAACTTCAGGACACCGTCTTACGAAATGCTTGACGTTGACCCGCTTTGACGATACAATCACCTACTTACGTTGCCTCTCCGTCTTCGTTAAACGATATTTTTCTCGTTTGCACATGTATGGTATATTCATTGATTAAACTCGACGTTTGGAATATAAGAAATTTGATTTTTAGACCGTGACATATTTTATATTTTTGGATCTTGGTATATCTTGCGACACGTTTATTTTATTTTTGAAATTTAACTTGAAGTTTAACTTTTGAAAGTAGTACCATAGTTTCCAAATTAGGAAACGTGGAGTCGTGTTCCTGAGCCGCCCATGACGTTTTCATGTCCATGGAGACTCCACGAGCGCCCAGCTGTTGTGACCGGATATGCATTTCTTTTCGGTTTCTCAATTCTTCTGAATGTCGTCGGCCTTGTGATTATCTTGAGATCCGCACACAAATTCTTTCACATTGAAAAATCAGGCACGCGCGAGGACACGCGTTTATCCAATCACGAATCATCGGCACTACCGATTTTTCTTTTTAGCACTCAAAGGTAGCCATCTCAATTTCTTTTCGAGCATCTCGTATAGATTCAGTTTTGTAGAGTTTATCAGCTCGCCAGTCACATTTCCAATTCACATTTTTAAATTCACACGTCTGATCGTTATTTATCGATTATGCGCGATCTCTAAATATTTCAAGATTTGGAAATGTAGAAAACGTAGCTACGTTTCGCGCATGCATGATGTCTAACATAGAAGTCCTAAAAAAAGAAGAGACGTATGAAGGAGAAGTTTGCTTAAGAGTAGTAGTCACACGAGCCTAGTTATACTGACGATAAGTAGAGGTTGCAATATGAGGTTGCGATATGTCAAGTTCACGATCTCTTCTTCTTCAACTTCGCGAAAGGGAGCTTACGTGTTCGAGGCAAGTTTGAACATTATTAAGGAGCGCCATATTAAGTTTGCTTATCGATATTTTAAAAATTCGCGTGTAATGGAAATAACTTCTTGATGTTATCTTTGAAACGTCTTTATAAATAACTTTCTCTTATATATTATCGTATATATTAATACCTCCCGCGCTTAGTGGATACTTTTTAAATTTTTTAAATAAATGTTATGCGGCAGATGCACCTGCGCCGTCACGCAATTTCTTTACTCCGCATGTTTCGTATCATTTTAACTCTTTACACGTAGCGACAATCTGTGATTTATTATCAATAGAAATTTGGTAATCTTCGAGTTTATTTTTCTTGTAATCTCATTATAAAATATCTTTGTTGAATTGATTAAATGTTTTTAATTAAAGAAGTAGAAAAACAATTTTGGAATATATTTTTAGAAAACGTTGATGTTATTCCAGAATTGAATTTTTTCACTTATTAAAATATCTGAACGTTTTTTCACGACGTCGCACACTGTGACAGTTTATAATTTCCGGGATAATTTATGGAAATTTGCCGTAATTTTATTTAGCGAATCTACGGAAGGCAATCTTCGTTAAATCGATATAGTCGCGGTAACGAATGGGCACGAGCAAACACGACTATGCCATTTTTCAGAATGTGATTCGATTTTATATATTTTAGCGTAAGTGATATATATTTTTGCAAAAGATAATGTCGCTCGCGCGGTGTAACGTCGCGGCGATACGCGCACCGTTCTCCGCGTGAAATCGCGATCTGACGTTCATGCAAATTTGCATGCGCGCAAAACACGACAGCGTACGTGTTCAATGTCAACACCAACCGGTAAAACGCGTGTATGTACCACTGCGAACTCGCGCGAATGCAGTCGGACGTTTTCACAGACGATCGCGTAGTTAATCGCGAAATGATTAATTTCGCGAAAGTTACGGAACACGATTAGCCGGGGACGAACGGTTTAATAATCGGTCAATGCGCACATTGCAACGCCGATAGGACTGCGGCACTGTGAGTGTTACCATCACAACAGTGTTGTTGCAAACTACAGACTACAGCGTGCTGACATCGCGAGGGGCAGCGCGCATGTCCGTCTAAGCTATCCACTTATCCACCCTTACGACCGTGGGTGACAGCCACCGTTGGGCGCTACCGTTGGGCGGACGATCGAAAAAGCACACATGCGACCGAGTCTCAAGTGTTGATTTACATCGATTCGCTTCAATAGTTTAACGTTCTTTCCGCTCCTACCTTCGCAAACAGTGGCGTAATCGAGCAAAGCGACTAGACAAATAAAATTACAAATATATATAAGTGGGTTTATGTACATGCAGGGTATAAGGCATGTAGAACGTGACGTGCTCGCTGTTCTAGTGCTATACTAAGTCACTTTTAAATAAGGAGAGATTGCATGATATTTTGATAATCCATATACGACAGCGATTTCTCCAAATAATGCGACATGATACCAATAGATTTTTGAATGAAATGAGATACATTCATTGCATTTTATTATTGCACTTTCACAAATTTTTATTAACGTCTCCAAACTTCATCACTTAAAATACTAGAACAAATCTCTCTTTCTCACTCTGGTCTTCTTTTTTAGAAAATAATTATATTAAAGGTATTCTCCTTTTTCTATCATTAAAACGTTTCATGTATAAAAGCAATTTTATTTTTCCCCACTTAGTGTAGCAATAATAAAGTTAGTTCGTCACGGCATATTACAGTCTTTACAGTCGGGGTAAGTTTTATTCGCGCTTGCAAAGAACTCCGAGACAACCCATCGATGTTACTTGGAAATTTCATCGAGGTATAAAGTTCAAGGTTGGAAAGAGTAATGGGAGTGATCTTAGGAATTGATATAAACGAGTCGTATGTTTGGCAGTTGGTTTATCAAGATTTATTACTTCCTTGTCGCTTGCATGGACGCGAAAAATTGGTCGTTTGGACGAGTTAATGTCAATTTGCGTCAATAAGGTGAACGTTATCGCAGCTGCGTCCCGCGCTAAGCGACGAGACTATCCGCCGAATAGAAATCTAATTTACTAAAAATTTTTAGTCGTATCACGTATTTTAAATCTCAATCGTAGGCATTTTACGTTTCGCGCGGTACAGTAATTGAGATACATCCCACATTCGTGTGGAAAGTTTCTGGAGCTATCGAATATTTGTGTAAACCGTGTCCTATTTCGATTTTTATGGCTATATACCCTGTGCGCTTCGTCAGGAATAGGTTTCTAGGAAAAATCGTTGTAATGCTTCCCGGGAAACAACCCGTTCGCGTGCTGCCTATCAAGTTCGCAACGTATTGCTGCGTCATATTACTACGAAAATGAAAGGAAGAAAAGAGAATTGCCTCGTTCGCGCGTCACTTTGATTCCCCCGTCGA